GAAATAGATGTTAGTCTTTTTTTAAAAGAAAAATGGAATATGATCATTTTTCCCATTAGATAAGGAGTTACTTGTTGAGTATTATAGTCTTATAAAAATTTGAAGCACTAACCTTAATTTTATAAGAATTTTAAATTAATGAATATTAACTCAGTTAAACTTTTTGATAAAAGAAACATAATATTCTGATAAACATTCCTGTGCCCAAAATAATTTTTATGTGAAATATTTGTTTTTTAGCTTGGAAATCAAAAGGTAAATTAGTCTTAGGTTTTCATTTAACTCCCAATTAATTTTATGTTTTAGTATTTAGCAATTGTAGAAGCTTAAGTGCATAACCTTAAGGAAGCCAGAGGATCATAGGATGGTTCCCAAGAGAGCCTTATGGCAGTAGAACTGAGAAGCCTGGCCTAGATGAAACACATTGTCTTCCACATATACTACCCAAAAAGCCCAATAAGGCAGCACTCACCTAGTGACCCCAGAGATTGCTTTAGAGGAGGGTTATAAACTTGCATTGATGTTGAGACCTTTTTCATTGCCAGAGGCTCAAGACCATGCTGTTTTGGTTCAAGGCTGATGAAAGCCATCTTTTTACATTAAAACTCGGTCAATTTCTTTCTTTATGCACCTTTTTATCCCCAAAAATTAGTGTTAGAAGCCGTTGATCTCTATGTTGCATGACAATATTGACAAGAGTTTCATTGTCATGATTCATGATATAAGTCATCTAAACTGTAAATGTTTTGTTTGAATGATGCAATTATAATTTGGGGAATTCAAATTTAGAAGCAGCATGAAGGAAAGGTGTACCTTCAATCAGTTAAATCACGAGTTCAGGCGCAATGAATCCGTAATTATGATAGTATGTCATTACTAGATTGAATTGGTTTTTGCTTTTTATTGTTGGCATGGTGTTGTACGCCACGACCCCAACAAAGATTTGAGGCCTCAATGCCTAAGGCTAAAGGACAATATTTGAATGCTTTAGACAGCAAGCACTTAAACATTTTTATTTTATTTTATTTTATATATTAAAGATTAACTACTCGATAATATAAAAGTTTAAATTTTTAAACATTTATTATAAATCAAAAATTTTAAATTAGTAATTAATAAGTATTAACTTGACTAAATTTTTATTGTTCACAACACTCTAACGTATTTTTATCATTGGTAGCATCTTTGAAAAAAGGAAAAATGGCAATTCCCGTTATATGAGTTTGTAGGTGCATTGAGTGTGTCAATTTCAGCCGAAGCTTATGCACAAGGCATGCGCTTTTATTTGAGCTCAAAATTTGAAGAAATTGAGAACATTCAATTCTAAGAGGGAGCAATATGTTGGCATTGGAAATGTGTGCTTTATGAAAGTTGACATCGCGGAGAT